AATTTGGCGACGGTTTTAGCGACGAGATTTTTCCGTCGCCACGTTTAACGACGGAAATACCGACCGTTATTGCAATGTGACCACATAGTGACAGAATTAGTATTCCGTCACTAATTCCGTCGCCGAATTAACAGCAATGCTACAAAGTCCTGGAATTTTTTCAATTTCACACAAGAACAACATCAACCTGCTCTAAATCACAACACAATATCAAACAACCAACAAATACTAGAAATGAAGAGTACCAAACAACCAAAAATATTCAAATCACCCAGCTACAATTAAAATTCAAATACTCCGTAATATTTATAAAATTCAACTTAACAAAGATATTTCACTCCACTTACATAACCATAAAACTTAAATTTAATATATTGTTCTTCAATTCTAATAAAACACTCAACAAGCTCCTGCGAATCCCGACCCTCCTCCATCTCCACTGTCATCTCCATTTCCACGTGGGAATACTCCTCCATAGAGTCGGGTCACTTATTCTCTAATCGACTAGCTCTAATTTCGTCTAGCTCTCCTCTCAACCTCCTGATCTCATCATCGCGAGGATCCCACATAGAGCTGGTGCTAGCACGTCTTGCCTCACTTGCATGCATTCGTGGTAGGCTCCGTGCGAGATCTCCAACACCATGAACCCAATTCTTGGCATCATGTCCTCCGACTGTAGATCTAAAAATCTCATCACATGTCACATTTAAGCCTTGTTCACGAACTGCCTCCCGCATGGCTACGTAGTTTTGCTGCAATACACCAAACATACATGTATTATGAATTCAATGAAAACTAATCATATATATTCATTGTCACTTACTGATACTTCTTCTGCCTTCTTATTGACGTAGGTCTTCCCATCATGTTTATTTGTATGTGTGTGGGAAATAAACCCACGATGGGATTAACCCGATCAGATGGCGGACCAAGAACGGAATATGAATTAGGAAACATGCCACTTAGAGCATTATTTTAATGTAATTTTTGTTACTAATAGTACTTACCAGTGTACGTGGAGCTAGCAGGGACACTCTCGTCACCGCCACAATGATTTTTCTGAAACTCTCTCCAGTAAAAGTCCACTGTCGCGTCGCTTAGGCTCTTCGTACTACCCATGTTGGATCGAGCCTCCGCTGGAATGTGGAACAAATTATTCGAGCTCCCTCCTCCGTGTTGTTAGCAGGTTCATGGGACAACCTGGAAAGGAGCACTGGCAGGCTGTGAAGAGGATTTTCCGCTACCTGAGAGGTACGTACGTCTGATGTTGGTCTCATATATGGAGGTGGTACTCACTGTTCTATGACCGGCTATTCTGATTCTGATTATGCTGGAGATGTTGACAGTAGAAGATCTATGACTGGTTACGTTTTCACTCTGGGTGGTTCTGTTGTTAGTTGGAAAGCAACTTTGCAGACTGCAGTTACTCTCTCTACTACTGAAGCAGAATATATGGCGTTGACAGAAGCTGCTAAAGAGG